TACCTTGTAATCCACAAAAACTTTTATTTGCCTTCTTTCTTCTTCGGGTTTTCTAGATTCACAGTTATTCCAGCCCAGGGTCTATATCAAAATCACCAATTAGATTAGATTTGGCATTTTTATCCACATATCAAATCCTTCCGAAGGATCTTGGAAATCATTATCCCTTGCTATGTCTGATCTAACATAGAGACGGACTACAGGTGACAAGATAGCAATATTTGAGAAGCTGTCACGGAGAAGAGGGAGTCAACCTTTTCTCCAAAGAATCTGAGGACGGGACAAGAAGTAATGGATGGAAGCTTAACAAAGAGAGATCCAACCTAGAATTAAGAAGAAATTTCCTGCCACTAAGAACAATTTATCAGTGGCATAGCTTGCCTCCAGAAATTGTGAGTGCTCCAACACATGAGGTTTTCAAGAAGAGATTGGACAGCCATTTGTCCAGAATTGTGTAAGGTTTCATGTTTGAGGAAGGGGTTGGATTAGAACACCTCCAAGGTCCTTTCCAACTCTGTTATTCTGTAATTCAATTATTATTGCCATATAGGTCATGGCTGCTTTTATTGTAACAGCTAGAAAAACAGAACCTTGGATGTCTGAATGTGCTTCACCTCCCTTACTTTATCTTCTTGTGAACTTGGGAAGGGCTTGCTTTGAGTTTCTCATATTCTTGTCCCAGGATCCACCCCACTCTTCTCTGAACTTTGTCTTGGTATTGGCTCATCTTCCTATCTTTCAAATAGGAAGGAAATAATTAGGAATAACTAAGGAAGTGTAAGGATTTGCTGCTTTGAAAATACTAATTTTTGTTACAAACTATTCTGTTAAAGATGATAATGATAATAATAAAAATAATAATAATAATAAATTATGACAGGAAGACAACATAGGGACACAAACAACTCTTGTGCCACGCTTGGTTGAAACTTGGTTTCCACTTAGTTAAAAACCTTGGGAACTTTGACAAAACTTGGAGGAATCAAAACATTGATTTTGGGTGCGGGTACAGAGCATTGTTGATAAACAAAAACAGACCGAGTCAACGAAGGGGAATTGTTTAACTCAAAATAATCTAACTTACAAAATTACGTGTTCACAAGATTTTATTATCTGGGAACAAAACATCAATTATTAAGTTAAGCAAGAGCTGACAAAAGCATTTTTGTTTTCCGAAGAAGTGTATCGTTTGTTTATGTGTCTTGGAATAAATTTAGCAGAAGAACCTTAGCATACTGAAATATAAATGCTATTAGCGATTTGATCATGCAAACATTATGTGATGCTGCCTAACACTATTGAATTAATTAATCCAATCGTGTCAATTTTCATGTTTTTTCACTTATATTAACTTCCAGGAGGCAGACCCTACATCAAGAGTAACCAAATTTTCTGGCTTTGCGGACTGGTGCTGGCTACGAGAGTGCGGGGGAGGGAAGGGAGGAGACGGTTCTACCTGAGCGACGAATGAGCACATGCGCTGCTCCATTTGTGAGAGCGGTGGGAGCGCAAACATGCCACTCAGACAGATGGAGCTGGGCACGCACTCTTTCACCCGGTACCAGGCCAAACCCCAAGGATTGTGGACCCCTGCCCTACATGATCAATTCTGTCCTATTTGAGACCTCTCAAACATAGTTAGCCAAGTGTTATTCTATAGGGTTTAAATCCTCTACCAGTTCCTACTACACAACCACCTTTGTCCTACTGGAGACCAATCAGGTAGTCAGATAAGCAGATGTTATTCAAAAGGGTCTGAGTTCTCTACCAAGAATTGAACTAATGGATCTTTGCACTTCAGATGAACATATGTATGTTTGTATGTATGTATGTAGAGAGAGAGAGAGAGAGGGAGGGAGGGAGGAATGGGGGGGAGTGAGTGCATTAGCTTTAGGAGCTAGCCAAGTCCTGGCACTCAGCAGGATATCCTATAGCATCTTTATGTTTTAGCAAATATCCTCAGCAGATGATAGATCCTAACTAGTCTAGTTTAGAAATAGCACTTACACTTATATGCCACTTCACAGTGCTTCAGAGCCCTCTCCAAGTGGTTTTACAGAGTCAGCATATTGCCCCCCAAAATCTGGGTCCGCATTTTACCAACCTCAGAAGGATGGAAGGCTGAGTCAACCTTGAGCCTGGTGAGATTCGAAGTGCCAAATTGAAGGCAGTCGGTAGTCAGCAGAAGTAGCCCGCAGGACTGCATTCTAACCACTGCACCACCGTAGCTCCTGTAGTTTAGGATTGGAAAGTAAACAAGATTCAATCTAGTTGGTGCTTGGATGAGCAACCATCAGAGCCATCCATTATACATGCCATACAAACCAAGCCGAAAACATCTGCATATTTGAAGTAGCTGAAATGATCCTTTCTTAAAGGTTCCAGAGGATACAGAACTGTTTTTTTGTGTGTGCCAGATGTTTTCAGGGACTGCTTCTTTGAAAATCCCCATCTGATCTTAAGCAAAAACATTGATATGAGGAATATTGACCTCATCTCTCTCCTAGGAGGTCTGTAGGGGGTGTGTATAAGCGCACCAACGTGCCTACTGTCCCTGTCCTATTGTTTCCTTTTTCTTTCCTTATTCGTATCCATTTCATATATTCCATAACCATGTTTATACTTATACCTATTATATAATAATCACTTGACAGAATAAACTAAATAAATAAATAGCTTCTAAAATGAAATAGTGCCAAAGTAAAACTTTTTCTGAGCACTAAAAGTGTTATAAAGAAAAAACAAAGAGGAAATATTCTAATGGAAAATAGTCCAATGCTTTTGTTGGTTCTCTGAAATGAATTTAAAATGGTTAACATTAATTCTAGGCTACTTAACCAGCATAAAGGACCAAGTTACACTCTGCTAAAACTCTTTCAGTAAGTAAATTTGGGTGATGCCCATTTCCCAGGAATAAAACTAATGGTTTCATGAGGGTGCACAGTAATCAAGTAATATACAATTTATTTTAATACATTTTAACTTACATTTCATACAAACAGTAGAACCTTGCCACTTTACAATGTAATATTTTTTGTCAGAAATCAATAATAAAATAATCAAATTTAAAGAGTATTTTTAATAAGAAAGATCAGGCTATAGAAACACAATGCAATATTTACAAAATGCTTTTTTCAAATACAAAGAATCACTAAGCTTAGCTGCTTGAAGTCATGGTGCATATATTAACTTAAACATACTCGAAGTCACAATCTCCTGTGCAGGTAGGTAGGTATTCAAAGGAAGATTTTACTTAAAGATCATCTATGAGGGGAAGTGGGCACATTCATATATAATCCAATATCATTTTGATAAGCAACAAGCTCCCAGTTATGTACAGGCAGTTCTTGACTCATGACCACAATTGAAGCCAAAATTTCCATTGCTAAACAAGAGAGTTGTTAAATGAATTTTGCCCTATTTTACGACCTTTCTTGCCACTGTTGTTAAAGGAATTGTCATAGCTGTTAAGTTAGTAGCACATTTGTTAAGTGAATCTAGCTTTCCCATTGACTTTGCTTGTCAAAAGGTCATAATAGATGATCACATGAATGGACACCGAAACCATCATAAAGACATGCCAGTTGCCAAGTGTCTGAGTTTTAATCATGTGGCTATTGGGATGCTGTAACAATTTTAAGTGTGAAAAACGGTCATAAGTCACTTTTTTCAATGCCGTGGCATGATGGTTCGTTCAGTAGTTAAAGATGCCGAGCTTGTCTGCTGGACTGACATCCTGGGTTCAAGACCTGAGAGCAACGGAGTGACCTTCTGTTGTTTGCCCCAGTTCCTGCCCACTTAGCATGCAAATGTGAGTAGAAAAATAGGTACCACAGAGACCGTATCCCACCTTATACCAATCCTAAATATTATCAAACAAGCCAACCCTAGAAATCTGACAATGTTGGGAGAAATCAGCCCTAAGAATAACTGAGGCATTTGGCACCCAAGGCAGGCCAAGAAGAAGCATCTAGAAAAAGTGCAGAGAAGAGCAAAACAAAGATTAAGGGGACTGGAGGCTAAAACATATGAAGAACACGTGCTGGAATTGAGTGTCTAGTTTAATGGAAAGAAGGACTAGGAGTGACATGATAGTGTTAGATAGTGTTCCAATATCTCAGGGGCTGCCACAAAGAAGAGGGAGTCAAGCTATTCCCCAAAGCATCTGAGGGCAGGACAAGAAGCAATGGGGGAAAACTAATCAAGGAGAGAAGCAATTTAGAACTAAGGAGGAATTTCCTGACAGTTAGAACAATTAATCAGTGGAACAATTTGCCTCCAGAAGTTGTGAATTATCCAACACTGGAAGTTTTTAAGAAGAGAATGGACAATCATGTCTGAAATAGTTACAGGTTTCCTGCCTGAGCAGGGGGTTTGACTAGAAGACCTCCAAGGTCCCTTCCAACTCTGTTATTCTATTCTAAAACATCTCTTAATCTGTGGGAGATTAGCAAATAATCCCGGGTATCAAGAGAAAGATTAGGAAATGGCTGGGAAGGGATTCACGCTGTAGTCTTGGATGCAGCTAGAGACCGAGCGGGCAATGCAGAAAGCCGGATAAATCAATTGAAAATTCTGCAAAGAGGAAGATAAAAATTAACAGGAGTTTGCCGCGAAGCCCAGAGCCAAATGTGCACAGATTGCAAAAAAAAAAAAAAAAAAAAAGACACCCTTTGTACGGCCGCCCTTCCCTTGGGACGGAGGAATAAATTAGACAGCATCGTCCTGATTTGAAGAGGGGGGAATAATCACATTTCCTTGGCAGCACCTGCTCTTGGAAGGTGGCGGTGAAGCGGCTGCTCCAACAGCTGGAGCGGGAGGGCCCTTTAAACAACGGCCGGCCGCAGCTCTCCCGTTAGCCGAGCGCCGCTCTTCCTTAGTGCGCGAGGGGAGGGGGGCCGCGAAGGATGCAACAAGCCCCGCCCCTTTGGAACGCGACACAACACACATCCAGAGGGGCGGGGCTTGCATGACGACGACGACGACGACGCGTCCGCCATTTTGCTTTTTTTGACCCCACCCGCGGGCGTCCCGCGTTGCCGCTACTTTGTCCGCCTCGGGACCCTCCCGGGCTGCCGCGCTCACACGTGCACGTGGATATCAGGGGCGGTGGGGGTGAGTCGGGGCGAGGCCCGGGGAGGGGTAGGTGCCGTTTCTTAAATGGGACCCCAAAGACCCGGCGATGCCTTTGTTCTCCCTGCTGGGCTTCCCGAACAGGAACTCGCCCACTTTTTGCCCAGGGGCCCTTTTTCCTTCATGAGGACTAGGAACCTGTCTTGCTTTCCTTCCTGGGAGGGCGGGCTCCGCCTCTTGGCACCGTGTCGAGGCCAACGTCACCAGTTCCCGGCCTCCCTTCTTGGGACGCCCGGAATACCTGGGGAAAGCCCGCCCTGCAGGAGGGTTGCTCGGAGCGAATTGGTCTTTGTCCGACGGCCAGAGGAGGGAGAGATTAAGCGGTGGAGGTTGCGGGCTCGGGGCACGTGGGAAGCCGTAGCCGCCTCCTCACCTGTTTCTTCCAATCTACACTAGCAGTTCTGTTTTTTAATTAGAATTTGATTTTATTTTGATCAGCTATTGTTTCCCTATAAAGTGTCTGTAACGTGCAGAGAGTTTGAGGTCTCTTTTTAATGCATCAGAATTGGGGGAAACTCAGAAAAATTCTGGGAAAGAAGGTGTGAGACTGCCAACTTTCCACTCGCTGAATTCCGCTTTCTCACCAAATCATCTTCCATTCCGAGCCAGAATCCATTTTTCTCATTGTATAAGAAAATGGAACCGATTCGTTTGTATGTGGATGACTTAAGTGGAATGACTTAAGATTGATTTTACCTGCCTTTCCCTTTAAAGTAATAATAAAGTGTCACACCTTCATTGGATAGATCACGGGTCTTCAAACTTGACAGCTTTAAGACTTGTGAACTTCAACTCCCAGAATTCCTCCTCCAGTCGTGTTAGTTCAGGAATTCTGGGAGTTGAAGTCCACAAATCTTAAACTTGTCAAGTTTGAAGACCCTAGGGATAGCTTGTGCACAGCAATCCTGTTAGGTAGGTTGGGATTAGAGAATCTCTTCAGTCTCCAATTCAAATATGATAAACTAGTTTTGTTGCATTCCTTTCTTTTTGACAGTTTTAAACCCATTATTCATAGCTACGGTTTGGCATGTTGCACACACCTTGGTCTTGAGAGGTTAGATATGGCCTGGAGTTTGGACAGACCCAGATCCAAGGCTTGGCCTTCTCAAATGACAAGAAACATCTACTTCCAGTTTCCTGGAGTTTTGCTGCTTTTTTTCCTCACTGGCAATTTATGAGAGGGCAAACTGCCTAGAAAATGTTCAGGACCTGTTATCCTACCTAAGCCCTGTCCTCAACCAGCACATCAAAGTTGGCTATCAAAGCTGTGTGGAGGGACAAGTGTGGGGGTGTTAGTGTGTGTGAGAGAGGGAAGGTAGTGTGTATTTGTGTCTAGAAAGAAAACAGCAAAGGGATACTGTTCTCCAATAGGACTCACAAGAAGTACAATAGAAATGGGAGGAGCAGTAGCAAGAGGCATAATAGCAGTGGGGAAGAGTGGAATAGTTGTAAGCAGTGAGCACTAGCCTTTGAGTACTTCTGTGGTGTTGCTTAGGGACCTGTATTGTTTAGTTTTCTTGAGTTTTGGAGCTCCCTGACATGAGTATATACTTAAAAAGAGCCTGTGACACAATTCCTGAGAGGTTTGCATGTATGTAGCCTTGAACAGCCTTCAAAATTCTTTTCAGATGAGGATGTTAACTGTAGGGTTAACTGGGAACTGCAACTGTCAGTTTCAGTTTTGTGGGGTTTTGGTACATTAGCCCCGAGTTTTGAGTCCTTAGCTTAAGGCCCTTCAGGCATTTCCTATCTGGGTTCCGATGAGGCATCTAAAAACTAAGGTTCTTTATTCCCTGGAAATGATGTCAAACTTTTTATTTCATTTCCCCCTTCCCTCCATTGTGTTTTTTTCCTATGGAATTGTTTTCTTTATTGTCACATCTCTTCCTTTGACCCAAAAGACAGTTGCCATTTGAAGGAATGGCTTTTCAAAAAAAGCTCTTTGGTTGAGCCTCATCCACCAAGAGTTTATTCCCTGGCATTTTACAGCTTCCTTTCTGAGCCTGCTGACAATCTTATTTTCTGTTTTATTTTCCAGAGTGAAGTTTTCCCTTCTTGGCCTGCCTGCATAGAGTGGCTGGTCTGCAAAGCCACTCCAGAGCAACACAGCTACCTGGTAAGGTTGGTTCCCCACTCCCATAGTAATAAAAATGTTCTCTCCCTATCCATAACCTGACTGGCATACTGGTAGTCCTCAACGTACAACAATTTGTTTAGTGACCATACAAAGTTACGGCATTGAAAACAATGAGGTATGACCATTTTTCACACTTAAGACCATTGCAGCATCCCCATGGTCAAGCGATCAGAATTCAGGCGCTTGGCAACCGACGTGCCTTTAGGACAGTTGCCATGTCCTGGGGTCATGTGATCACCTTTTGCCACCTTCTGACAAACAGAGTCAACGGGGAAGCCAGATTCACTTAAGAACAATGTTACTAACCGAACAACTGCAGTGATTCACTTAACAACCGTGGCAAGAAAGGTTGTAAAATGGGGGCAAAATTCACTTAACAACTGTCTCTCTTAGCAACAAAAATATTGGGCTCTGTTGTGATGGTAAATAGAGGTCTTCCTGTATTTCTTCTTGCTGGGCATCCTACGTCTATCCCACATGGCCCTCTCTCTTCTGTTCTCTGCTGGATGGAAGACTACCTTCCATCCATTCCCCTCATCATCTTGCCCCCACCAGGCATTTGTTGTTCTGGATAGGCTCCTGGTAAGCTGAAGGAGGTCAAACCGAGGGAGAAGAAGTCTCAGGGGAATTCCAGGCCTCTGCAGATCCACACCAAACCAAACAAGCAAACTTGGCAAGAATAAGCAGAGAAGGGCTGCCTGGCTGAGCTGACTTAACAGCGTCTCAAAACCAGATTCTTTGAAAGGGCATTTGTTCTTTTGGATCCCTTTTCCCTTTCCAGACTGTAAAATACTCTCCTCTTTTCACATTCCGACTTTTGCCGTGCACGCACACACGCACGCACACACAAACATACAGTCGCCCTCACCAACTAAATATTTCTCATGTATTTTGGAAAGGAGGGGCAGGAAAAGTAAAGTACACATCTCCTTTTCTCTCCTTTGTTCTTTTGATTCTCATGTTTTATTTTATTAAACTTGCCAAAATATGAAATACAAGTGAAAATAAAGATAGTGGTGGAAAAGGAAAAGAGAGTGGGATAAAAAGGAGAGCATTAACTTCCAACTGTCTTGAACATAAAAGTTAGAAGCGATTTCCAAGTAGAAACAAAATTGGATGCATATTTTTTTCTTTAATTAAAGCACTTAATTTGCCTATCTCTGCTAGCTCCCTCAAGTTTTCCATTCTTCCACTGTAAGGTGCTTGTTTGATTCTCATGTGCTTGTGAATTAAAAGGAACATGTAGAAAATTACTTCTGAATAAAACTAATTGGGGAGTAGAGTGGCATGTACATTTAATAAATATAAAAAGTGAAAAATAAGTTCATTTTGCAGTACTGAGATGAAAACTACTTAAAGCATCCTAGCAAGCACTAATTGTATTTCAGTGTGTATGAATAAAATCACAAGAAATTATTAAGGAATAATTGACAGCAGAAAATTTCTGCTTTACTAAGAAAATAACATTTACTATTTTTATCTTCCTTCTTTTTGGAATCTGCTTCTGTTCCATTCATTGTCTCTCATCATTCTTTTTCTCTCCATAGGAATGGAGATTGGAACTCTTTACAGGAAGCGCAAAACAGTTGAAAAAGAAACAGTGCAGAAGAAGAAAAGAAATGAGGAAGAAAATAGTATCTCCTGTTCAGACTCACCAGCAGAATATGAATGCATCATGAATGGTTTGGAATTTGTTATTCATTCTTATGATATTGGGTTGTACGTGAACTCATCCACTCCTCTCACAGATGAACTGAAGTATAACCTTCTTGTGAATACCTTCACACCACCTCATGACTATAATTTCAAGGGAGATTCAACAGGAATACGCAGCTTTCGCCACATATGGTTAATTAGATACTCGCCCTGGCTGTGCTACTCTTCCTATTTGAAAGGACCATTCTGTAAATACTGCATTGTCTTCCCACAGCCTGATCTTTGTGGGAGGCAGGGAGGCTTCATCATGGTGCCCTTTGTGAGGTACAACGATTTTCATGTCTGCGCTAAAAAACACATGTCCAGCGCATGGCACAAGAGTGCCGAAGTCGATGCAACTAACTTCTTAACCAGCATGAACGTCTTCGAAACAAACTTTGCTTGCCAGCTTGACAGCAGCATTAACCGGATAGTCAATGAAAATCGCAAAAAACTGCAGTCGATCTTGTCAACCATCATATTTTGTGGCACCCATGACATTCCTTTACACGGGGAAACAAGAAAAACGGGGAACATGCAGAGCCTCTTGGCGTTTCGCGTCGAGGCTGGAGATGTGACCCTAAGAGAACATCTAGAAAATGAGACTGGCAATGCTCAGGACACGTCCATCCAGATAGAAAATGAATTGATTAAGTTGTGTGTGGATGCCATCAGAGAAGAGATAGTTTCTGCCGCCAATGGCTCTGCTGGTTTCTCAGTTCTTGTGGGCGAAAGCGCCAAGATTTCTGGGGAGGACCATTTGTCACTCGGCATACGTTTTGTGGACACGACTGGCGCTAAACCTCAAGTTCGAGAGGAATTCCTTGGTTTTGCAGCACCGAAGGGATGGGACGCTACCTGCGCTGCTGAAACCATCATTGAGGAGTGCACCAAGTATGGTTTAAATCTTGAAAAATTATGTGGCCAAGGGTACGACGGGTGCTCTAAATTGGCCGGGAGAGAGGGTGATGTGCAGGCTAAAATAAAAAGCAGGTACCCCAAGGCTACTTTTGTCCACTGCGTGGCGCACACACTCAACCTGGTTGTGAATGACTTAAACGCTGTACCCGAGATAAGGAATGCGGTGGGCACAATCAAAGCTATCCTTTGCTTTTTCCTTGAGAATCTGAGGAGAGGAAACCTTAGTCCAGCAGTTCTATCGCTGGATGAAGCACTTCGGACTGCAAAATACAAGCACGTCAGATTTTTTTCCAAGAATTTTGTACAGATCTTTGATCAGTTAAGAAACCTGGCCGCTACTTCAGGTCAAATCTGCCAGGATGCGTATCAATTATACTGTGCTTCAGGAACACCTAATTTTCTCGTTTGCCTTGTTATCATGTCAAACTATTGCAGTAAGTTAGAGTCAGTGACCCAAGCTCTGCAGACTGTCCAGCTTGACATGATGAAAGTGTACGAACACATCCAGGAGCTCTTAACCGTCTTTCGTGGCCACAGAGAAAAAGCAGAGGAGCACTTCAAGGGAATTTTTTCGGAAGTTCAAGAACTAGCGGACAAGTTGGATATTGACTTACATATTCCCAGACGGAGCGACTTGCAAAGGAACTCAAATGCCATTGTCCCAACTGAGGAAGAATATTTCCGCCAGTCACTCTATATACCCTACTTGAACTCGATAATCTCATGGCTGGAAAGCCGGTTTGGTCCAGAAAGCAAGGTGGTTTTTGGAATCTTTTCGCTTCATCCCAAAAACATGGCTAACATTGGCCTTGAGACATTGAAAGCGAAGATGGAAAAAATAAGTGAATTATGTGAAATTGAAAATCTGGAAACTGAAACAATCACCTGGTATGAAAAATGGTTGGGGAAGAAGGAAGAAAGGATTGAAAATGGGAAGAATGGACTTCTGGATTTGCTGCAATACGTTGACCAATATCCTTCAATTCAACAAACCATTTCCATTGCTCTGGCATTGCCAGTAACAACTTGTACAATGGAAAAATCATTCAGTACAATGAGAAGGGTAGAAACATTGTTGAAGTCAACACTGGTAGATGACCAATTGTCTGGACTTTGCATGATAAGTGCTCATCGGATAAAAATTAATGAAAATAAGGACATCTTACTCCAAAAAGTGATTGACAGATTTGGAGAAGATAACAAACATTTACAATTTGTCTTTGAAAAATAACTGGTTGACTATTTTCTAATTATTTTTATAAAGAGGGATGAATATAAGGAGGTATAAAAAGACTAAAATGCAAGTGGCAGAATTACAGAAGGAAATTAAACAAATCCAGAATATAATAAAGATGATTATGTTCCAGTATATAATTAGAGACTTACAATATAAAATATATCATCCATTTTCTAAACACGTAATATCTGTATTGAAGTGTAAACTGAAAATGCTTGATTAATAGAGTGTACATCATTAGGAAAAAGTATAAACAACATTAAGTCAAAAGTTTTCCGTCAAATATTAACATATAAAGTGTCTATATAAGAAAATCTAATGTTTCCATATTGTCTACTCATACATTTTCTAATTTGGGAATGGAAGTGTTGATTTAGTGTTAATTCTAATTATGCTGGATTGATGCTGGTCTATAAGCATAACACATTTTAATGGATTGTACTTTTATGTCCTTTTTAGAGTACTGCAGTGAAATTACATCCATGTTTCCTGAGAAATAAACTCTATTGAATTCAATAGGATTTATTTCCAACTGATTACAATAGCTGTCTAAAGGGTTGGGCTGTCTCATGACTTAGTTTGAATTTTTCCTGTGAGTCTGCTCTAAGGAGAATTAACTTTGAATGCGTCTATTAGTTGCTTTTTAACAATAGATTAAACAGATTAGTGTCTGTTTTGCTGGGGGGGGGCGGGAACATATGTTAGCTAAAATAACTTAAATGTAGTGGTCAATATCTGGTGTATTTTTTGAAATTATCTGTGTTCATAAGGAGTGGGTTTGAGCATGTTCAAGATCCTTTTGAGTACTGGGATTGCAGCCTTTTCTCTTTTTTTTAATCCAACCTCATTTTCTCCGAATTAAAAGGCAAAGGGTTTCAAACGGGAGTGCCCAAAACTACCCTTGGCTTTTCAAACAGAGCTTTGTGAAAAAATGAAAGCCATTCAGACAAAAAGAGACTCTTTTCCTGTATTATGAATATTCTATATTCTTATGTGTGCCCTGAGGATATCATATGCAGATTGCAAAAAAAAAAAAAAAAAATCCAGGCCACCCACAGATGGCAAGAAAGCTATGGAGAACTTCGTCTGATTATTGAGGTGGCCATTCAGACTTTTGCAACCAACCTCATAGCCTTAAATGTACAGGAAACCACTTCTGCCTGCATGTGCTCCTCCCTTTTTCTTTCTTACAGTAAGCCAAATACAATTCATTTTATTTGGATATTACTGTGGTGGATTATGTGACTCATCACGGGGAACGCTGTAAGACAAGTTATACAAACATAGCTTCATGTGGTTCCAAACCAACATGTAGACTTCAAGAAAAGTAATATTAGCGAAAGAATATGACAGTTTTAAGAGAAAGAACCTGACAAACCATGAACTAACCCAGCCCGTGTGGTTTCCTTAAGACTTTAGTATGTCGTGGTAAAGAGGAAAATGGGATTCCTTGGCTAAAATATGATTGCCCATGAGTAACTATGACACGGGATCACAGTTATCTTACTAACAGCTTGCCAATAATTCATAAATGAAAAGAGGATACCACCAGATAATACCCTGAGGTCTATCCCATTTTTCTTACCTGTTTCTTATCTGAGGTGACCCTTTTATATCTGCACTGCAACAAATCTGCTGAGATAGGGAAACTTGGAGAATGGCAGCTCCAAACTCAGCGACCTTTTTTTAAACCGGGCAAGAATTGTCACTCCTTTGTAAAGTTATTGGACAGCTTTGCTAGTCTAGGTGATTTGAGTTGGGATGAGTTTGTGTGATTCCTCCTACAAAATTGCCAAGACTTCACATCCTTCAAAAAGAGATTGTTTGGGGTAAAGCTGGAGTAGAAGATTAAGGGGAGGGGGGGAAGGCCCCTATAATTTTCCTTATAAAAAGTACTGCCCTTTGCAGCTGATTTATCAGAATCAACTTTTCTCTTGGTTGATTGGAAGAGAGTTTGAGCTGCTCTGCAACTAAAAGGAATAAGGAATTAAAATAATGGGGGAGGTGGGGTGTTCAAGCTATTTTCTAAAACACCTGAAGGTCAGACAAGGAACAATGGATGGAAACTGAACAAGGAGAGATTTAACCTGGAAACAAGGAGAAACTTTCTGACAGAACAATTAACCAATGGAACAGAAGTTGCCCTCGGAAGTTGTGGGAGCGCCATCACTTGAGACTTTCAAGAAGAGATTGGACTGCCATCTGTCAGAAATGGTGTAGGGCTGTGATGGCTAACCTATGGCATGCGTGCCAGAAGTGGCACACAGAGCCATCTCTGCCAGCACGTGAGCTGTCGCCTCAGGTCAGTTCTACTGCGCATGCACACTAGCCAGCTGATTTTTGGATATCTGCCACGCATGCGTGGAGGGTGGAGTGCATGGAGGAGACGTGTGCGCATGCGGAGGGGGGCAGGGGAGCAAGGGCGGGTCATATGTGCATGCGCAGGGGGGCACAGGTTATGCGGCAGGGGTCGTGCATGCATTGCATTATGGGTGCAGGCACGTGCACAAACATGCACTCTTTTGGCACGCGGTGACAAAAAGGTTAGCCATCACTGGTGTAGGGTCTCCTGCTTGAGCAAGGGGTTAGACTATATGACCTACAAGGTCCCTTCCAACTCTGTTATATTTTAGAGATGGGCAACCTGTAGGTTGCCTAATAACCCTTTACAGCAGTCTTAAGTCTGTATGGCAAAATACTGTATATTGGGTGGATTTTGCATGTAATTTTTTTTCTTTGCTCTCCCTCCCCATAAGGGAACGCCAATTGTATTTTTAAACCTACATTCACTGTCACACAAACAACCAAGAGACACTTCCTTCACCCGTTTAAGGACTCAAACCTGTTAAATATGGGAACAGGGTTTGCCTCTTTTAGCCCCATGGAAATTCCTACAAAAGTGGATTCTGTTTAGATGGGTTCTTTGGAAAGCTAACTAATCAGCATTCAATAACTGCAATAAGCAGTCATCTAGAAATCTTAAGCAGTTAACAATCTACAGAGAAGATTTTCTTTGAAAAGTGAAAGACCAATTTTCTCTCTTCAAAAACTCTCAGAAAATGTTGAAGATGGAGCATTGTATATTATAGTACTGGGTTTTTAGGTTTGGGAAGTGTGTTAGTATAGATTTATTTTTCTTTTATCTTTTTTTTTGTCCCTTGGAGTCAGTCTTGACTCCTGGCAACCACTTAAAGAAATCCCTGTAGTTTTGTTCCATGGATATTTTAATGTTAGTAGAGCCCATTGTTAGTTGTTAACCTTGATGGCAGTGTGGTTGCCTCTAAAGGCTACCCAACTAGGAGACTAAAATGTTATGTTCCTCCTTAATCCTAAAAATTGTATTATACAGGCAAAATGACTAAATTACAAATTCCCAGGCAAAGCTGAGCTCATTTGTTGAGTTGGTATGGTTGAAGGTGACTCCACTTCTTTTGAATATCTGTTTCTCTCAATCTGGGCACTTTTAAGATGTGTGGACTTCAACTCCCAGAATTCCCCAGCAAGGTTGGTTGGGGGAGGAGGGAGTTGAATCCACACATTTTAAAATGGCCAGGAATGAGAAACATGGATAAATGTGTAGGGAGAAGCCACAGAAGAGAGATCAATTGTAATGATGATTGAGGGCTACTTTGGGATTTTTGAAGAAATCTGGAGAAATTAAATTCTAATTTCAGAATTATTACTATTACTTCTAATTGTTTTTGGAAAACTTCAGAATAAAAACTGACAAAGCAATCTTCCTATGCTGTGATCTGGGAAAGAGGAGGAAATTAGTGATTTAGCCTAATGAGTGGTGATAAGCAAAC